TGGGTCTTTCTCCGGCTCCAGTAAGGGATTTCAGCGTTAATTATTACCTCTATTGCTATTATTATTACTGTTATTATTATTATTCAAAACTGGATTTACCAGTTAAGATATTCTTGAAGTCAGTTTAGTTAAACGAGCACAGGTTCTGGTATGATGATTGGGGCGCATGAGGTCGCCGTCAACTCATTCACTGGAGAGTTGCAGCTGGGTCGTCCAGTCAACGTTATCCTGGGGTTGGTTATTTCAAACAAATAGATAACAAAAGCATCGAGATTGGCATTATGGGATAGTTAAGAAGAACGGCTAATTCAGGGGGCTGCCTAAATGTTTATCCATATTTTCCAGATTATATGTTGGATTAAGACAAGCATTTTAACTCTCAACTGAAGGGCAGTTGTTAGCCAAGACCATTAACCCCGTTACAATCTGTCTCGTTATTTAGAATAAGTGATGTGTCGCGCCATTGGTTCGACCGCGTCTATTTTTCCCGAGGCTGCCTTCCCCTGTGAGAACCAAACCCGATTCATATACTAGCTTCAAATTAGGACTTACAATTTCCCAAATTGTTTCCACAAGCACAAATTCCATCGTGCCAATCTCGGTTTGCTTCTTCAGGCTGCTGATGCTGTTGTTGGAGGCCTTCGGGTTGCTTTGAAATGACCGTTTGTTCGACAGTTTGTCCATTTCGTAATTCCATTTGTCTTTTTGAATAAAGGATTCTTAATCAGAAACCGAAGCAGGAAGCAGTTGCAGTATAAACAACCAGATATCGCCAGCTGTTGGCTGCCAATGGATAAATCAGGCAACTTCATCGAGTTATAGTGCTATACGAAGGAACCAATGAGTGAGGGAGACAGGCAGACCATGGAGAGCAGTGTAAGCTTCTCGCTCGATTTCCCCACCCAGTTGGTTACTTCTGTTTACATGTTTACGTTGCTGAGCAACATCTGCAAGCCCATTGCTGGAAAAATTCTTTTGTATCGTTATTTTCCTGGGCAGAAGTAAGCAATACGTTGATTTCAAACCGTCGACAGCCATGAAATACAGAACGAAATAGATCCACTGTTATGGATTGTGATGGAAAACAAATGGTTTATCGTTGGTTCCATGTCGACGAAACCTTGCAGTTCCTTCCTAAGGTCAGGGGATTTCGTATGCTCTTCTGAGTCTTTGACCCACACAACACACTCCCACTTACCGTGGATGAACGGTGATGCTATTACCACCATCATCACTACGACCCACTGCTGGCTCCATTTTGCATGCCTACTCGCAAGGCCAATAATAAAACGACTGCTACGTATCCTGTTGAAGAAAACTAGTTTCAAGTTTACTGAAAAATTATCGACGACGCACGGTCCGTTTCGTCCCCATTGACGCTCGACAGGTTTGCACAGTCCCCAATGTTCTGTCAAATAGTGTCCTGTTTGAACCCAAACTGATGTGTAACTGACTATTTGACAAGTTTCTTCCAATTTCGGTTCTCGGAAAACATAAGGTTGTCGGAAACTCGAGAATTCTACTTACCTGATGAAACCCAAGAACTGCGGAAACGGTTGTGAGCTATCGATGGTTTTTAGCAACCTTATGAGTAGTGTTCCGTCAATATTTAGATGCTAATAAGCCATCTCAATACCACCTCCGTAAACACGTCTCGCCCCGTCGTCTTCCTGAAGCGTGCACACGCATGTTCTGTGTACCTCATTTTCGGAACCTCCGTTTTTTCGGAATGTACGTTCAACGCTAATGTTAACGGGCAGCTAACTGTGTATAACTGGCAGCCCAAAGGTTTCCATTAGTACCACTGCATATTTTTTTCGCTTTCTGTAGGTTCTCCACTTTTCATGATTTCCGACACACTATGTCGTCTCTGTATTCTTAATATTAGCTGATCAGGTTTTGCCGATGTCACAACTATAAAGTCAGATTCTCACGGATTTTCACTGCTTCCTCAAAGTTAAGAGTGACTGAAACACCGCGATTTTAATATCTTGGAGATTTGTCACTAAGTGGGGAAATAGCGCGGCTATTCCACCATCGTAGACGTGAAAAATAGTGGACGGATTCTATAAAGCCTGTATATTACGACTGTGCTATGGTTACAACTATGCTAAGCCTTCCCCCCTTAGATGTCCGAAAATTCTGGTGCATCAGGTCACTGTAGACAAGTGATCGCGACATAGATGGATGGACAGGCCAATATACACGACGACGGTCACTTTGAAGTATCAAACTGTTTGACAGAAGACGCACTTCATCCACAAGGGGTGCTCCCGTCAAATACCTACCACGGACCGACCTTGACTTTTCCAGAAGTTACTGAGGGTTATCTGCACAACGCTCATGCAGAACGTGCTTCCTCTCAAAAAGGAAACATATTCCGAATCAGGTCGTTTAGTTTGTCACCCGAAGCGCTTTTTCCATGTGTTTCCACTCGTTAAGGTAGTTCTGTGCACCGTTTTCTGACACCATCCCACAGATTTATAGCGATGACTTTATTACTGTTTAGGCCAGGAAATGAAAGACTGAGCAACTTTATCGTACTCTTGGGATTTCACAGAATGTTTACCCATACACCAAGACAGCTAAAACAGAATAGTTCACAACAAAGACCGATAGACACGTGAATCAGTCTCAGGTATGGGTTATCCTATCTACTATGTTTTCCCGAAAACATCTTCAAATAAACGAAATTCATGAGCCTGTTTAAGCCGAGTTCGGATATATGTGGTTTTTTATTCTCTGTATTTCTACTGGCACTAAAAAAACTAAAAATAAACTAATCTGCAGTGGTCAACTAAACTTCTATACAAACTGCATGTATCCGTTTCGATCCAGGCTATCGTGCCTTGGATTTGTATGTCGACACCACAACGATTAGTTCTTCGAGAGGACGATCCATCTCTGTCAGCAAGCTGCCATGGAGTGCATGATTCGCTGATGGTCAAGCGATTACGGGCTATTTGATCAAGCTGACGAGATGAACGAAACGCTTCCGTTTGCTATTCAATGGCCCATCCAATCAACAACTACCACCACAGATGGTGCAACCTATACGTCCCACCTGAATTACGACTCCCCTAGCCAAAGGAAAGATCGATTGACTAGATCTGCCTGCCACACCCACCTCACTCAAGAAGGCTAACTTAAAAAGGTTTTCATGATAATCACATCCAGATCACGGACTGAAGACAGTTCAGTCCGGCTGATGCTAAAAAGGAAACAAATCCTTGTTAGGGGATCTAACGTCACCAATCTTGGACTATGTGCATTGATTAAGATCGCCATCTGTTGCACGGTCACAACCTCTCGTCTGAATACTTTATTGTACCATCGCGTTGCTTACCTGAGCTCATATCCTTCCTATCGTATCAGCTGGGGGTTATAAAGAGTAACATTAGGCTCACCAAATCTGCAGCGCTCCTCTGTGTGATATCACGCTTAGATAAGTGCGAAAGCCGTGAATCTTATTCATACGCTCACAGTGAATGGAGGAATTAGTCTCGAAATGAGGGATTACAGTATAATATGATTCGGCGTCATTTATTGGGACCAAAAGTAACTCGGTTGTAGTTTATTCATTATACTGGAATCGAAAAAAGGACTGTGATGGAGAGAAAATACAATTAAGTGAATAACTCAAGTGAATATTACGCTGCAACACAGTTGCAAAGACAGGGAGTCCGAGGAATTCAGTCTTTCGTAAGCCCAACCCACTGCAATTAAACTTGAATGCTGAGAAGGGTAGGATCCGAGGATAATTGCAGAAAGGAATTTATCGAATTACCCAAAAACATTTCCACTCTCAAGATCATGACGACCTTTAGTGGGAAGTGCTGACTGTTCCACTGAAACTATATTAGGACCAAGCGAGACTGACTGGATCGCTAGACTTGAGATGAGGACACATTGAAAGCTAAGTTTATCACACATGTTAGCAGGTGAACTATAAGAGGCAGGATCGATCCGAAAGGCCAAGGAAATCAAAGATGTGAAAAAACATCCGCAGCTTGATTTGTTCGACAAGTCCTCGAAAGTCAGCGAAACAATCAGGGGCCAAATTAGATTTCTGAGATCTAGTAAAGAAGACCACTGGGTGCAGTATTCAGAACACCAATTCAGTTGGTCACATGCTACCTCCAATCCGGACTACCGGTCTTCAACACAAAGATGAAAGAACTGTGTAAATGGAACCCTCTCATCCTTAGAATTGTCCGAGTGTAGACCTCTAACCAAACGTCATCTTGTTTGTGTTGCTGATGTTCTTCTAACTGCTTTGTTCAAGGATGGCTGTGAATTCCTCAGTCAGTATCTGTATAGCCCATGTGTGTCTATTTGGGATAGAGATCATTCCAGATAACTGAGGGGGGGGGAGTCGATAATGGCGCCCATTATCGGAAAGAGCACTCTCAGTGAATGTGGTAACCACAGAGGTGTTGATTTGACTCCTGTTCTGACGGGGCTTTTGGCACCGCTGATCATCATCGTCTTACAGCGGCACGCAAATCCTTGACCCATAACGATCAGGCAAGATTTCGATGGCGTAGGGCCTTCGTCCACCCACCGTCAGATGTTAGATCAACTCCATCTGTAAAGATGACTCATAATCTTGGTATTCCTTAACTTCCACGGTGCGTTCGATCCGTCGATCTGTTAGTGCTGTTAACGTCACTTGCTCAACGGAGTGTTCCGCGGGAGTTTTTGAACATAATCCGATCCCTGTAATCGCATACTTCTGGGCCTTTGAGGGTATATGGTTAACTCGCCGAAAGCTTACCTACAGAAGGTTGAGTTCACTAAGGATATCCACTTTCTCCGTCTCTGTTCGACTTTGTCGTCGATGAAAGAAATGGGACGAACTCTTGGAGGTTTTCAAAACGCCGGTGTTTACATCGTTGTTGGGCGCGAACTTTGTCGATCTGGGGTACGGAAACGACATCGCCCCCATCCTTAAGGACAAAAGCAAGGCACAATCACCGTGGATTAAAATTACCATCAAGATGATATCTTTCAAAATGTGCCTTGGATCTTCAAATCGCAAAGTTATGCTTGATAACGTGCAGTCTCTGAGCATGCTCTTTACCATTCAAGTTGGGTCACTAAAGTTTGTGGGGAATTTTATATAACTAGGTAGTTGTATCAGCTTTGGCAGAGGTGTGTTCGATAAAGTCAGTGCGCGATTCTTTGTGGCAAGTAACCACTATTTAGTCCACATCAAGTGAGGTTTTCAAGTACTTGCATTGGGTTTTGATGTCCCAATTTTATTCCGTTTTTTTAAGCCCATGTGTGTGACATTTCAAATGGTACCCTAGAGTACTATTTTTCCATGCCGGATTGGATTTCTGATCTTCAGGAATTCGGGCTCTCAGATATCAACATTTCCATCATCTTGAATGGTCAAGTAACATCGGTAAAGCAACGAATGTTTTCAAACAATTTTTTCGTGCCACTCGAATATGACATGACAGGTTTGTGGTAAAGCGGTATATGATTTGTTTTTTTTAGGAGCGTAGATTCCTCAGTGGAATTCAAACAAACTTTACGTAGTTTCTTGAATTAGAAGGTCAAGAAGCGCGTTGTAGCAGCAGGGGATGTCTGGTCAGATGATAAATTTGTTAAAAGTGTATTTTCAACGGGTACCTCGAGGAGGTACAGATTGATTGGCTTGTTGCAGTATTGTCGTAAAACGCTAAAAATGCCTTTATGGGTATCTGGATGGCTGAGTATTTCTGATTCCCCACTCAAACTCTAGGATCGATTTACTCCATATGATCGACATGCATTTAGCCAAGTTGATTTCCTCTGTCCAGTGATGGCTGTCACTGAAAAGATTCCTTCTTTGTTTTCACTTTTTACGTTTAGCTTTGAAAAATGTGCTTGTACGGCCGGTACGGGATGGACGTTTCAGAATCTGTTCCTTGTGTTCCTTCTAAGTGGATTTAAATGATGTACACTTTGAAGCCTGTTACACAAACTAGAACACAATGGTTAGCCATACCGTGCACAAGGAATCAAGGCCAGCTCATTCGTAAATTCGGGCACTGCCAACATCAATGTGATGGAAAAACTACCAGTAATAATCCACATTTTTGCCGCGCTCGTAAAAGCGACGATCGCCTCATTAGCTGCTTCCGCATGATGGAAGCTGGACCCTACGTCTGAATGGGTATTTTGATAAGTTAACACTGCTGCCTAATCTCTGCGTAAGATATTAGCTGCTTCCGCATGATGGAAGCTGGACACTACGTCTGAATGGGTATTTTGATAAGCTAACACTGCTGCTTAATCTCTGATTTAACTGCGTAGGATGAAGTACGGTTGGATTCACTTTGTAAACCATATTCTTAGACCAAAGTGTTAAGTATGTCTGCTTTAGTGCCAGAGCATGGCGCAAAAAACACTCATATGGCCAAAATGCGATGGGAGCAGTGCTGTTTATTGGCCTACTTTTAAAAGTTGACACACATTTATTCGAGGTGAAAATGAGTCGCTATTTGACTTTACTAGAAGTGCTTGGTCGATCGTTTAAATTCGTATTATCTAACGAGTTAAATTTATTTACTTTAGGAATCGTAGATTAGAATCCCGCCCTATTGTCTTGAATGTCAGCTTAGCAATGGCCCTGCCAACTTTTGTTCGTAATGTTTATATTCGGTACCATGTGAATTTACAGTCAAGTGTATACTCTCTGATACATTCCATCGGTTGTCAATGTGCAGTACATGGTAAAAAAAGAGTAGTATAAGTTTCGTGCAAATTCCTAATATTTGATCTGTATCGCTTCTTCAAAAACTCATTTTAGAATCCTCCTGGTGACTGCCATTCCTAGCGAACTAATCGACCACTTTTGAACAGCATTGTAATTCCATACCAGGTATCAACTTTGACTATATGGTCGGTCGATGTAGCAGGAATGTACACAACGAGTTGTACTGGAACGATCAGTTTATGTGCAAGTTTTTTGGATGTTGTGTACGCTAGACAGTCTGGTGGAACTGAATGTAGAGTTTCCTGGACAAGTGGGCATTCGGGACAAAGGAGATGTTGCTGAAGCAAACGTTAGCTGAGACGTAACGTGGCCGCGTTTCCCACAAGAAGGTTCATAATCCGTAGGTAGCGACTCAAACTGATGCAATTTTTACTTAGCAGCTGGTATATTTGCATAATTTGAAAAAAATCAGCTGCGGACCAGCTTTCCGTTGGCTTAACCCGATGTTCTTTATAGACATGGGAACTATGCAATAAAACTTCGACCAAGCGGGCACCGCCAATGTGTGAAGAAGCGGCTACTCATTTGGAAGTTGCCACTTGAAGTGTGCGTTGTAGGCTACTTGGATCGTAGACGCCTCCCAAGTTCTGGCGGCGATTTTGACCGGAGACATTTTTGCGATTTTTATGGGCGCTCAGTATTCGCACAATGGAATCGAATTTTTGAAAGCTATGACGTGCTCCTGATGTATTAAGCAATCAGCCAATTGAGTTCAGAGTATCAGTCCAAACTTTTGAACCCTATTTAGGTATCCCGGAGTCTCAGCGATGCTGGGAGATTATTGCACCCCTACTTTTTCCGCCAAAGCTATGATTGCTGCAGTGGAGAATGAGATTTGGTGAACTGCAAAAACATGAACGTGGATTAGGATGGGTTTTGGTTTGAGCATATGTGCAACAAATGCAACGTTTTGGCGCAAAATGTTTTACTCCAGTCGCAAAGGTTTTGCAGCTAAGATCAATGTGCGGCTAATGGCTACCATTTTTATGAATATCAAAAGGATACTTTAATTTATGTGTGAGATTACCTTGCGCACGAGATGTTGGCTGAGCACGACCTGTAATATTTGCCATAAGCCGTCATGGAACTTGATTCCTCTGATACTTTTAAGGAACGAGCTAAACGATTTGGTTATGCAGATAGTTGTAGATATAGATATTTGTTGGCATCGTGTGGTGTTTGTGTTCTTTGTAATATGGAATGAGTTGACACAAACCCTGTGGAGTATGGGACTTCTCGTCGCTCATTCTTTCAATTTCGCTTCACAAAGGAACCATCATTGACCCACAAAATGTGTAATGGCCCAGCTGTCATATTAAGACCCATAGTAACGGCAATCGGCATCACCGAAGATTCTATGCCACCCGAATTCCCACTGATTACCGTGAAACACGAGATTGTCACCTGTTAGAAGGTACAAATCATGCGTATTGAAATCCAGAGCTTGCCACAACACTGGCTAGTGTTTATTAATAGTCTACAAATGCAGAACGCATTGGATGAGACGATGACACACCTGGTACGTTGAGATGCACAACAATCGTATTTGCAAAACCGTCTCGCAACGCGTGAAATCGGCGGTCAAAGAGTGACCATTACTGGGAGAAGATGGGGATCTCTGGTCCGTCAGCTGGATTTCACGTCGCATGCATTTGAAACCCATAATCTTACACTTACAACTTCTGAAGAAACTGTCATCGCAAACGCACACAAATAGTTTGCTTCATGAGGTGTCTAGCCGCTGTGTTGGGTAGCCGGTTTGGGGGGTCTGAATCATGGTGAGCAAGGAGAACGCGTCTTACCGCATATTGCGTTCCGCCACACGAAGTTTAGCATCAACCTACTGGAATTTTTGTCAAAATTAAGTGTGGCATTTGGTTACCGACGGATGAAGAGGGGTACTTCCCATCAGCATTTGACACAATCTATGGTTTCGGCAAAAAACGTAGGAAGCCTGAAAGAACTGCTAAACTGAGCAAAGTTAGTTGGACCTTCGTATCACTTGTTACAGCACCATCAGTATTCCTAGTCTAAAGCACTCTAGTAAGCCTATCAAGTGTTTAACTGTAGATTATTGTTGTATCGTGGGTGGCTTTCCATTGTTTACGCCTGCACTGAGCCTGCCAGACTACGCGATAGGGAGTAGACAGAGAGCTCGGGACACGGCTGTATCGCCAGGACACAACATACAGAGCGTCTGCGTAATATATAGGATGACTAAATGGCCAAATATGGTCGTTCACTTGTTCGCTCCGTGAAGCCAATGTTCCGGCCGTGAACAGTTTCAGGCCCACTACGCTGGTCGTATGTTGCTGAACCGTGTTGGTGCGATCCGCCAACTCACCTACTTTCCGGACGTGTCGTACCGGTGGTGACCTTGGGGATGCGTCACTCTCTGCACTGTGCTTTTTTTCCTGTCTGGGCGTGTCCTGTCAAACAGCCTATCTCATTGATGACGCCTTGGACTCCTGTGCGTACAACGCGAATGCGATCTGCCAAGAGAGGCACAATCTTCGCAGCCGGAGAATAAATTACCCTGCATCCTGTTTTATAGCTAGTAGCAGCGAACGTAATTCCTCACAATCTGCTGCCTCAAGAGCTGTAGGTTTGAAATGCTGAATCCGTTTATGTTTAGTCTACTCCACTCTGATCGGAGAGTTAGAGAACACAGTATCATTCTGTTCGCCGATGAAAATAATTCAAAGTGCAAAATTCCTCAGATTTGTAAAGTCTTCCTGTTTATTCGTTCTAGAGGATCACCTATATTCCCAAAACAAGAATCAGTATCCGTGAATTTCAGATTTGGAGATACTGTCGGAAATTTTCCGGCGGTAGATGAAAGTTCAACTGCAAATGTATGGATCTGCATTTACTAACAAGTTAATTCAAGGCTCTGATGAATGAGTGGATAATAAACATTGTATTGAATTGTGAAGGTCTGCTACATTAAGTTTAATATAAATTCAAAGAAAGTAATTAAGTATAAATATAAACATAAATATAAAAATAAGTCCAAGATAAAATAAAAACTATAAGCGCTTTAGTTGAAGTTTGGTTGACTCGCGTTCCAGCTTTAACTCGGCAAGAACAAGTGGATCCTTTTGTCAAAAGGATTTTAATTTTATAGTGTAACATATTTAGTTTCCTCTCAAATTTTATATTCGTGCTCTATCATCGTTTTCTAGTCGATGTTCCCAGATTACGGTTTAGTCTAAACCGGACTGGGACCCATATAATGCTGACGGCAGTTCGGAACACTGTAAATAATTTTGGATAGATAGCAGTTGTTTGAAATCGTCACTTGGACACAACTGATCGTCAAAGAGCCTTAGAGCTTCCTGAAAATTCATGGCGGGAGGAAATAGAAACTTGTAATTTTCACTTGATTCTCGGCCTGTTTGTGGAATCAGGGAGGTTGTAAAGAACTGTGTGAAGATGTCTGCATCGAATTTCAAAGGACGGCCTTGCAAACGTTTCAGTAGCACAGCATAATTCACTGTCAGCCACCCAAAATTTCGGTGATCCTTCCGCCTGAAAGCTCTGGCCGATGCACGGATAAAGAATTCCGCAGCTGTGTGCTTTGTGAAGAACACCTAAAGTCGAGAAATACACCCATTTGCAAATCAATTTGGTTTTCACGGGAGACTCAATTGAATCTCTCGTTTATGATGTCCTCCAGCTGAATATGCTGCACACAGGCCACCTCATGATTCATTTGGCACGATATTCGAGATATTGCAGTATATTTTTTCATAAAGGAAACTACTCACAAGAGCTTTCAGCAACCTTGTGAGTAGTTTCCTTTATGAAGATCTAAAGTCACTTAGATTGAGGGTCAATAATTACCAGTAACTCTGGTTCACAAATTCACAACGTATTCTGTATGAATTTGGACCTAACTACAGAACGAGATTCGCTGGTGTTTTCTGTTAGGTATGTCAAAACTGACCGCAGGTTTCCAGCTGTTAGCATATATCACAATCGGCTTCATTCTACCAACAACTGTGACTTATTTCACTAATAAATATCACCAATTTGTCGGCAAACAACTGCACAATGTACGGAGCGGCGAGCGATTTATTGTGCTGAGCGAGATAGCTCGAGTGCTACCTCTTGAATAAAACGTAGTACGACGTTCGCTAGAGTTACGTGATGCCATGCCGTCAGCTTTCAGTAGGGTAACAACTGATGTCTTCAGATTCGCAGACTTCACCAATTCAGAGAGTCACCAAAACACAATTTAACAGGTATTTTACCTAGAGACTCACGAAGGCCGTATGACGGTGCACAATAACTTACGAAAATCGGTTTGCCAATCAAATATAAATCTATAGACAAAAACGTCGTACATCCGTGCCTTTAATACACTTTTAGATTGAGGTCATCAAAGTCAGTTTTTCAAATGGTAGTAGACAGTAGGGCAAATGGGTCCAGGATTAGGAGAACCAGTTCTAGTAAAAACGAGGGAACATCTCACTGATTCACATTTAAAGATTATGGGTGCATATCAGGAATGTCAGCTTCCCGAAAGCAACCACCGAATGCCCGAAATCTACCGAGACTCTCAGCTTCGCTAGATGTTGACAGACAGAAAACGCCCCCTCAATATGCAGCGCCTCACAGCCTTGTATCAAACCCAGGCAGCGAGAGTTAGCGTTGATCAAGGTCAGACAATTCCCCCGCAATATGCAGCATGTCACAGCCTGGTAGCAAAGCCAGACCGTGTGCGTCAGTATTGGACTAAGTTCAGACAGTGTCCTTCCAATAAATGGCTTGGGACCGCTGTACTTTTTGCACTCGCACGCACTCACGCTCTCGCACTCGCTTGTTCGGAACATAGCTGTTGTGTTCCCTTCTGTGAGTCTTTTTTTCTCCGGCACTATGCCCTGGAGCGGGTCAGCAGCAGATAACACAGATTGACGAATCAGCAGACATAACAGTGCAGAATATGTTGTACTGCCGCGGATTGAAACATAGGTTTCGGAGAAACAAACAGTAGACACGAATAGTTGAAAAGTTGTTTTTGAAAGCAATTATTTGATAAAACCAGCGTCTGTAGTTAAATTCCTGGTTTTCGCAAACAGATCACACAGTCGCTTAGGCGATTGATCTCTAAAGGCCCAAGCGAACTGCCAAGCCAAGCAAAGTGTGGTGGTTCTTCATATAACTTGTTACATTACCATCACTAATCCTGAGTTTATTACGTGCACAAATCTTCTAGCTGAACCTTCGATGTGTTCATGTGCCTCAATCACAAAGACAAATTGGTCGCATCGATCGTATCGATCGGTTTAATCA